ACAAATTGAAAATTATTGAAATTTAATTTATTATAGTTACAAAAAGTTAAGTTATTATAAATTAAAATTATAAAAAATCAAAATTCAAAATATATATTACATAAATTGGAAAATTATTGAACTGAATTTTATTGAATTCACAAAAATTAATGTTATAAAAATCAAAATTCAAAGATATATTGTACAAATTGAAAATTATTGAAATTTAATTTATTATAGTTACAAAAAGTTAAGTTATTATAAATTAAAATTATAAAAAATCAAAATTCAAAATATACATTACATAAATTGAAAAATTCTTGAACTCAATTTTATTGAATTCACAAAAATTAATGTTATAAAAATCAAAATTCAAAGATATATTGTACAAATTGAAAATTATTGAAATTTAATTTATTATAGTTACAAAAAGTTAAGTTATTATAAATTAAAATTATAAAAAATCAAAATTCAAAATATACATAATATAAATTGGAAAATTATTAAACTGAATTTGATTGAATTCACAAAAATTAATGTTATAAAAATCAAAATTCAAAGATATATTGTACAAATTGAAAATTATTGAAATTTAATTTATTATAGTTACAAAAAGTTAAGTTATTATAAATTAAAGTTATAAAAAATCAAAATTCAAAATATACATTATATAAATTCGAAAATTATTAAACTGAATTTGATTGAATTCACAGATATATTCAAAGATATATTGTACAAATTGAAAATTATTGAAATTTAATTTAGTATAGTTACAAAAAGTTAAGTTATTATAAATTAAAGTTATAAAAAATCAAAATTCAAAATATACATTATATAAATTCGAAAATTATTAAACTGAATTTGATTGAATTCACAAAAATTAATGTTATAAAAATCAAAATTCAAAGATATATTGTACAAATTGAAAATTATTGAAATTTAATTTATTATAGTTACAAAAAGTTAAGTCATTATAAATTAAAATTATAAAAAATCAAAATTCAAAATATACATTATATAAATTCGAAAATTATTAAACTAAATTTTATTGAATTTACAAAAATTAATATTATAAAAATATAAAAATCAAAATTCAAAGATATATTGTACAAATTAAAAATTATTGAAATAAAATTTATTAAAATGAAGTTATTAAAAATTATTGTTATTGTAACATATCGTTCAATAATGTGTGTGACTGACACGTAGATGGCGACACTAAACTAAAAAAATATTGTATTTTAATGAAAAAAAACACTGTTCAATGCCAGGAATGGCTTGAAAAACATTATTCGGACTCTGCTCCATCAAAAAGAAGCATTTGTTATTGGTATGCCGAATTCAACCGTGGTCGTACAGACACCGATGACATTCCATCTACTGGACGGCCACATGACGCTGTTATTCCGGAAAACGTTAAAAAAACACTGAAAATCATTATGTCCGACCGTAAAGTGAAAGTGAGGGAGATTGCTGACACTCTACAGATATCAGCAGGCAGTGTACACACCATAATACACGAATATTTGGGTATGAAAAAGGTGTTTTCCAAATGGGTGCCGCGTTTGCTCACATCGGAGCAAAAACAACAACGAATCGATGATTCAAAGAGCTGTTTGGACATGTTTACGCGCAATAAGTAGAAGTTTTTGCGTCGGTACATCACGATAGATGAAACATGGATCCACCATTTCACTTCAGAGTCAAATCGGCAGTCTGCTGAGTGGCATGCAGCCGGTGAAAGCCGCCCAAAGCGACCAAAGACGCAGCAGTTGGCTGGCAAGGTTATGGCGTCTGTATTTTGGGATGCGGATGGAAAATTCAAAATATACATAATATAAATTGGAAAATTATTAAACTGAATTTGATTGAATTCACAAAAATTAATGTTATAAAAATCAAAATTCAAAGATATATTGTACAAATTGAAAATTATTGAAACTTAATTTATTATAGTTACAAAAAGTTAAGTTATTATAAATTAAAGTTATAAAAAATCAAAATTCAAAATATACATAATATAAATTGGAAAATTATTAAACTGAATTTGATTGAATTCACAAAAATTAATGTTATAAAAATCAAAATTCAAAGATATATTGTACAAATTGAAAATTATTGAAACTTAATTTATTATAGTTACAAAAAGTTAAGTTATTATAAATTAAAGTTATAAAAAATCAAAATTCAAAATATACATAATATAAATTGGAAAATTATTAAACTGAATTTGATTGAATTCACAAAAATTAATGTTATAAAAATCAAAATTCAAAGATATATTGTACAAATTGAAAATTATTGAAATTTAATTTATTATAGTTACAAAAAGTTAAGTTATTATAAATTAAAATTATAAAAAATCAAAATTCAAAATATATATTACATAAATTGGAAAATTATTGAACTGAATTTTATTGAATTCACAAAAATTAATGTTATAAAAATCAAAATTCAAAGATATATTGTACAAATTGAAAATTATTGAAATTTAATTTATTATAGTTACAAAAAGTTAAGTTATTATAAATTAAAATTATAAAAAATCAAAATTCAAAATATACATAATATAAATTGGAAAATTATTAAACTGAATTTGATTGAATTCACAAAAATTAATGTTATAAAAATCAAAATTCAAAGATATATTGTACAAATTGAAAATTATTGAAATTTAATTTATTATAGTTACAAAAAGTTAAGTTATTATAAATTAAAGTTATAAAAAATCAAAATTCAAAGATATATTGTACAAATTGAAAATTATTAAACTGAATTTGATTGAATTCACAAAAATTAATGTTATAAAAATCAAAATTCAAAGATATATTGTACAAATTGAAAATTATTGAAATTTAATTTATTATAGTTACAAAAAGTTAAGTTATTATAAATTAAAATTATAAAAAATCAAAATTCAAAATATACATTACATAAATTGAAAAATTCTTGAACTCAATTTTATTGAATTCACAAAAATTAATGTTATAAAAATCAAAATTCAAAGATATATTGTACAAATTGAAAATTATTGAAATTTAATTTATTATAGTTACAAAGGTTGACATAAATCCTCTGCCTAACCCTCCCCGTGGGTGTCGACTGGTAATAGAGAGTTCTGATTGCAGACTGTTCTAGCTAAGAATTGGAGTTTGCTCTGATTCATCGGCGTGAGGTCTCTGGGGACAACAGAGGTAATGATGCACTAGGCTATACCGACGGATTCTTCAGGTCCTTAAGGGCTTCCCTTGTCGGATTGGCTACTGCGGAGCAAAAATTCTGTCCAACGGCCTTTACGGCCAATATGGCTTCAACGGCAACAACCTTGGCTATACTGACACTGATTGTATGATTTTGAATTGTCTGAATTATAAATTGTCTGAACCCTGGGCTGACAGTCTCAGTATTCTGTTACCTCAGTATGTAGAGGTGAAACTCTGCAGAAATGGCTTTCAGGCTAATGCTGAGGCTGCCTCCGTCCCGTTAAATTCGTGGCTGACCTCAGGAAGCGCTCAATATCCGTCGCCGTTTAGTTGGTGGTGTAGGTGAGGTTGAGCGAAGCTCCCTCTTAATATCTGCCTGGCTCTGAATGTATATGCTCATAAGGCTATACATCAACCTTCACATGGACCTCACTGATTCAGAGGGACCCATGGGGCTTTTTAAAAGATAACTACACGTCGGGTGGAGATAGCGGACCTGAGTTGGGACCCATCAATATGGAAAATTTAAATCTTAATAAAAAACAAACAAAACTTTCTGCTACTGGAAGACCAGTAGCAACCCCAAGCAGAAGACTGCAAACCTCGAGTGGTACCTCCAACTCCACTTCCAATGAACTTAAAATCTCGTCGCAAATACCTTCTGGAAGCAGAAATACTGCATCTACCAGTCGGTATGTTGCCTCTTCTGTCACGGCCAAAAGCAGTGACAAGTCAGAAACCAAATCCACAAGGAGAATTCCACCCTCTAAAAAGGCCCATAACGACCGCCGTATGGCTACACGAATTCTGCAGCGCGTAGGTGAGATCCCGGCCGATAAAATCAGTCAGCAACAGGCCTCATCCCTTGAATGGGCCAAAAGCATCTTGGCCAAATCAAGCAATAAAGAGGCTTCCAAACCGGACCAAGTGTCTAAAAGACAAAGGTCTCAGGAGGAAGAACCCCCTCTTACAAAAAAACCAAGAGGTTACAATGTACTGGTACGACCGTACAGTGAGGTTGCGAAGGACAATCTCATTATAGGTGTCCTGGATAGGAGTGCCGAGGAGGGGAGAATCCCCAAAGACAAATGGAAATGGGTGTCGGCCGCGCTGGCAGACATCTTCCTCCAAGTTTTGGAAGAAAACCCAGGACCTGCTCCCTCCTGCGAAGACGCGGGTTGGCACCAAGGACAAGTGAAATTGGTAGCTTGCAAGGATGCGAGATCGGTTGCCTTGTACAAGGCAGCTGTCTCTAAAGTAGGAGAGATCTGGCCTGGAGCCAGACTTGAAGCGGTAGACAAGAAGGATATACCATCTCGTCCTAGGGCCAGGGTTTGGATTCCAACTAAACAAACTGACCCGGAGCAAATTCTGAAAATAATCAGGATCTGTAACCCCAACCTTCCAACTGGAAATTGGAAGGTGGTAAAATTAGAGGAGCCTGTTGGACCGACCAGACAAGCTGTCCTTGTATTAAATGCGGAGTCATTGAAACCGCTCACCGAAGCTAAGTACGTAATCTCCTATGGCTTTGAGAAACTAAATCTCAAGGTCTATCGTACCGATGCCACGGAAGAACCGGAGAAGATTACGTCTGCTCAGCCCTTGCTGGAGGAACCAGCTAAAGAACCAATGCTAAGACAGCAGAGTTGTGAGGAAACACAGAGTGAAGACCTGCCAGATCAAATGGAAGTGGACTCGCTCTCTCTGGTGT